GTGCTATCTTTCAGTCCGGCTTTGTCCAGCCACTGGTAGGATTTCTGGATATCAGCCACCTCCACTATCTGTTGGTGGTACATACCGTGCAGGGGCCTGTCCTTCCATGATGCTGCCTCGTCTTCCTTCTCATTCTTGGGTTTCTGCTGCCTGAGGTATTCACTGAGCACGCGGCCTGTTGGGGCCATCTTACTGATGTATTCATGGATGTTTGTTGTCTCATCCTGGACCGTGGTGCTGACACTCACCAGTCCCCGGCCTCCTTCCTTGTGCTTAGCGTACAGCCTTAGGGTGCTGGACTTGGAGTGAAACCCTCCATGCATGGTCAGGAGCTTCCTTGTCTTGATGTCAGTTGCTTCTATCTCCTCCTTTGGCCAACTTATCATCCCAGCAGGATACCTGATCATGGGCACGGCGTAGGTGTTGATAGCCCGGATCTTGTTCTTACTGTTCATCTGACTTCTCAGAGCTTGCCTGACCCTCTGCAGGTACTTGGTGGTTGCAGCTGTTCTAGTGACCTCTTCATGGTTCCCATTTGCCTGTGGGATCCCCAGGTACTTGTAGCTGTCCTCTATGTCTGCAATGTTGCCTTCTGGTAGTTTAATCCCCTCAGTTCTGACTACCTTCCCTCTCTTTGTTACCATCCGACTACACTTCTCCAGTCTGAATGACATTCCAATGTCGTTGCTGTATATCCTGGTGGTGTGGATCAGTGAATCGATGTCTCATTCACTCTTGGCATACAGCTTGATGTCATCCATGTACAGGAGGTGGCTGACAACAGGTTATTGGTTGGTAGTTGGAGGGGACCGGTCCCTTCTGGGGGTCCTTGAGGATCAGGACTGTCCGGCCTTCGGTTAGCCATTCTGGTTGTCTCTCGTCAACTAGCAGCTGGTTCATTTGTGCTGCCAGGCACTTGTGGAGTGCAGTCAGCTTCTTTAGGCAGTAGCTGTGAACATGTCAGGGCCTGGTGCTGTCCAACTCTTCATACTGGAGACCATTTCTTGGATGTCTGCTATTGCGATTGTTACTGGACCCTGTTCAGGGAGGTTGCTGTGGTCTGCCTCAGATCCACTAGCCACTGAGCATTGCTGTTATGGGTTGCGTCCTTCTCCCATATGCTCTTCCAGTATTGTTCCATCTCCAGCCTTGGTGGTGCTGTTCTCATATTTTTCCCTTGCCACTGAGAGGACACCTTGGCTGGTTCTGTGGAGAACAGCTGGTTTATTCTCCTGCCTTCAATCTCTCTAGTGTACCTCTTCAAGCACCTGGCCAAGGCTGTGAGTCGTTGCTTGGCAGTTTCCAAGGCCTCGGGTATGGACAGCTTGCTGTACTTCTTAGGCACCTTCTTCATCGCACCTTTCTGTAGCACTGATAGTTGGCTAACCTCCCTCCATGCTACCTTGATCTTAACTTCTAGCCTCCTTCTCCATGGAGGGTACTCCCCTTGTGGCTGTTCAACTTGTAGCCCAGCATCTCACTGGTCACTGCTGCCGTAGTGTAGATCAGCTTGTTAGTCTCGGTAATGGTGGCTGTAGGTATCGCCCGTAGTGCTGCATTAACGTCATCTAGCAGACCTTCTGAGAGTACTTCACGTAGTCTTGGTAACCGGCTACAGGGGTCCAGGTTTCAAGCTTGGCCATGATCCTATCTTTCAGGTCAGTTCCCCTCGCACTCAACGATCCTTCTTCTATCGCACTTGGGGCTTGGTACCCAATCGCGGGTGGGGGTGATGATATCACCCTCCTGACCTGGCGTCCTGGCTCCCCCTTGCCATAGCATTTGTGTTGTACCTCGTCAATCTCTAGTTGTGAGAGCAGTCCCTTCTTTCGAATGTTGGAATACTGAGCTACTAGTTGTTTCGCCGCCATTGTGGATGTTGGGTATCGAGGATTCCATAGGTCATCATCCTATTCATGTAACCCCTTCCACCAGGGTTACTTGCGTAGTAGCATTCCAACAATGCCCTATTTTCATGTCTTGCCCACCGATGCCTTCTTATTCCAGTTGCCCACTTCTCGTCAGGGTGCCCTGGTTCCTCAACACCTGACGCGGATCTTGCTGAACCGGGCGACGTCCGAGCCGGCATGCCTTCATATCTGTCTCAAATAAAGTAGTTTTTAATGTCTGTTATTTTTGTGTTATTATCTCAAAACTTTATTTTAAGAAGTTGAAATTTAAAGATTTTTTAAGGTTCCTTGTAGAATATACAGTGAGATTTACTGTTAAAAAAATCTGTCTGGAAAAGAAAGAAAATCAATCAACAGTATAAATATAAAAATAAATAAATATATCCAAATTCTTTCAAACAAATATTTATATATCATTAACTTAGTTATTATTCATTTCAGGTTAATCCCTCAGCATTTCAAATCAGCAACCACAAGGGTGTGCTATTGGCCTATTTGTGAACTTGACATGACACTGAGCAAAAACTTATTGGGCTGCGCAGTAAAACACTCTGTCCACAGTTTAAAAGAAACAAAATAAAACAAAATACATTTACTCAAGTACATAACAATACGGGGATATTCCATTCTGCTTCTTGATACTATTCCACCAGTTCAGATTCTGTTTTTTATTTTTTACTTTGTAGACTCAGATTATTCATACAACATATTATAAACAAATAAATTATAACTAAGTATTATGGGTTAGGATAAGATGGAAGTTTGTAAATGAAAGAAAAAAGGGCACCATCGTTATCTGTAACAATAGGTCTAATGTATAAACCAATACTATAAAATAATTTACTTGTGCTACTCTGCCTTCAAAATAACAGCATGAATAGTTTTCATTCATAAATAAATCGTACAAAAGCACAATAAATTAAACTAATACTTGGTGTTCTGATTATAACAATGTTGGGGAGTTGCCATGCATTGCAGAAACCCATCCTTCAAATGTGAAAGCTACACCTGCCCCAGAGTTACTATAGCTGAGTGATTTTTATTAGTTTATTAATTTTAAATAGTTGTGATGTGATGTTTTTTGCTTAACCACTTTATTAGATAGGGTTTTCCTCATTTTAGCCTAATCTGTATTGTTAAAATGTGTTTTTGTGTAGTGTATTGTTCTTTTGTGGCATATTTGTCTGGCTCACAATTTAAGAAGTTTAAAATATAGAAAACTTTACATCAGTAAAGTGGGTAACCTCTAGGTTCATTTATGGTTATGATTTATTTTTTGTTCTTAAAATGTCTTATCAAGTTTTAGGTAACTGCAATACCCACTATTTAATTAATCAGTATGCTTTTATTTTGATGCATTGTTGTTGTTGCAGTAAAACTGTGAATGCAGGACTTTGATAGGTACTTGTACTCTGCAGTATTACCACTTGTATTTACTACGTGTTTCCACGGCTCCAGGAGCAGCAGCGTGCCGCCCCCTGTGTTACTATCAGTAGTTTGCGCCAGTCGGAGCTACGCATGCGCAGTGAGTGCGGGCGCAGCTTCGCCGTGGTTTCGGTTGAGAATTCTTGGCAACGTCTCGCTTGGTGAACAGGCAGCAGACCGTCGGGCAACGGCTGTTTCCACAATGTCTGGAGGATTATTTTAACGGAGCTGGAAGTGAGCGGAAACCCTGGAGCAGCGAAAGGTAAGCCGTGTGTGCTCTCTTGGTTTTCTCTGAGCAGTTTTGGGTGAGCAGCCGGGGATATTCGAAAGCGCTGAAAAGTGGCGAGCGAAGTGAACGTTAGTGAGCCAAAGCAAACATTGAGAGGAGAGGCAGCCGAGCCGAGCCGACCAACTTCAGTCAATGCGGAGAGCAGCCTCTTTACTACGGCTCAGCCGCGGGTCTCAGTTCCGCCAGGAGCCGTTTTCACCGGGTCCATGCTCCACTTTGACCTCCAGCTTCTCAGCAAAGTACATACATACTCTGAAATGTGCCGCTGCACGCAAAAATTATTAAGGAGAAAATATTCCACAACCTTCGCGATCCTTAAGGGGCCAGTGCGCATGCTCATGGGGCTCTGCAGACTTCGGATTTGTAGTTTTTCGTACCTGAGTTAATCACAGTTGCGAGGGCCAAGAGAAAAACGGTAAAACTACAAGTTCCAGACAATGGGAGCTTTGTTTGGGAGCCAGCTAGTTAGCCTGGACGGGCTTTGAATTTCGAGTAGTTTTTCCTACAAACGGAAGTTGCCTTGGCTGGATATTGGATCCAGCATGAGCGGCATGGGAAATATTTTGGCTGCACCGCATATTTAAGGAGGAGGGGTGGGGGGACGAGTTCAGTAGTTGTAGATGGAAGTGGTTTGTCATGAAAGGGTATGCAACACGTTTTAATTGATTGTGCTTACGCGTGTGTGTGCATGCAGACGCTCAGCTGTCAGAGGACCTGTGTGCAGGATTTGTAAGTGCATTGTAGATATGCATGCTTCTGTGTGTGTGCTTAGTCGATTGTGTGTACGCAGAATGGGAGATGATAATGCCTCGGTGTGTGTGTCATCTCCCTTTCATTGAGATCCTCCGTGTTGCTGCTGTACCCCCTCCACCCCCACACCCCCCAAAGCCCTCAGAAAACGACACGTCGAGTATGAGGATGATGGATTTTGTCGGGCAAGAGCAGCAGAGCATGGCAGCACTGCACATATTCAAGGCATCATTTGCTCTGGTCGCCTCTCGTCTGGAACTAATGGAATAATGATTACCAGGAAAATGTGAGAATCATGTGCAAATGCCTTAACCCGGTTATCCTGTACTGCCCACTGTTTGCTGTACTATGGGGGAAATCCTGTATTTCACGTCCAGTTTAAGGGGAAATCAGGATTGGATGTTGCCTGTGCTGTTCACTGTAGTAACGACATGGTTTTCCTCATTGTAAATACAGTTTTTGATCAGTGGATGTACACCGAGCTGCAGGAGTCAGCCATTCAGTGATCCGTGTTTCCGTTGTTTTCATCCTTTCCATGGGTGTTTGGAAAGCTTGCATATTAAAAGCCAAACTAAGCACAATGGCTATTTTTGGTCAAGGAAAATATTAGGCAGTTGCTTTAGCTGGGAATCCAAAATGCATTATAATTATCGACTGAGCAAAGGTTATGTACCCTCTTTGCAGTACAAGATAAATAGAAACTGAATGGTGAATGCAAACCTGATGAAACTGTATAATTAAAGTATACCTAACATACAATATATGGACTCGATATGTATTGGGCCACCTACACATAATACGTACAGAAGCTTTTAAATCTTTCTACAAGATTTTGGAGGATGCTGTTGGGAATTTGTCAGGTTAGACACTTCTGTGAGCAGAGGCCCCCATTCTAGTTCATCCTGAAGGTACCGTATTTTTTGAATCATAAAGCTCACCGGATTATAAGGCGCATTAAGCGGAACAAAACAGTCCGATAAGTCAAACTTTACTCAACTCATTCTTCTTGCTTACTCCACTTCCGTACCATTGATTCATTAATGTTGAATTCTCTTGCAGCTACTCTATTCCCATGTTGTTGCAGTATATTAATGACTAACCTCATATTGTGGATGGATTATCTCAGTTGTTCTCCTGACTGAAGTTTGGTCAGTTTACAGCATCCTGCCATGCGATTGCATTTGTCCCCAACCCTCAGGAACCCTCACATTAACTTCTGTCAAGCAAAAAAAAAAAAGGTTAGCATTCATCCTCCAGCTTCACTGTGTTTATGTTATGCTAACATAGCTGTGTCGCTAGCGATCACGTAGCGCATGGTTATATACCAGCTAGCCAAACTTCAGTAACCCTACAAACATCACTGCTGTTTAGTTTTCTGTCTTCATTCATGTTGGAAGTGATAGCAGAGCTGTACGTTTTATTTGTTTCAAAAATCTATCAGTCAGAACATGGTATATCATGTTTAGGTGGAAACTAGCGAGCTAACTTCTTGTTTCTAACTTCTAACTCCGTTAAATTTAATACATTCTGTTTTCATGGATGCCTGGATGTTAAACTTAATTGTTACACCTGGCAAAGCAGCAACGCTGATCATTTTATTAAAGATGAAAGAATTTAGACGGTTTTTAACTCTCAGTGATGCCGCAGTGCTTGTTTGACTTTGGGACCTGAAGAGGACGGACTTTTTTGGACCCTGTGAGGCTCCTGATTACAGTAGCCATAATGCTCCGACAATCCATCAAGCAGTACGGCTTCGTAGCTTACTAAAACATTTTTTTAACAGATTTTTGAGTAGGCTGTGCAATATGATCAAAATCTCATATCCCGATATAAGACATTTATCGTCCCTACAAGGATATATAGCACCAAAAATTTACGTTTTCTGTAAATTCTGTGAAACTTGGGCAACTCGACTTGCGTGAAGTGTTTTCAACTGGGCGTCGTGTACCTGGAGTCCAGTGTTACATTTTTAGACATAAATTGAAACGGCCACCATTTTCTTTGTCAGTATTTATTACACGGCGTGTTGATGGGAAAAGCCTTTTTTCAGGTTTATTTTTTAGCACCTGGCGGCTCTTTTTTGCTCATCCTTAAACACTCTGCATACTATTTCACGTGATTCATTTTATTTTGCAGAATCTCAACAGGATATTCAGCTTTATTGTGAAAGGTTTATGTGGAAAATAAACAAGCAGACGGAGCCACGTGATCGTTGTTGCTAACGACAACGCATAAAAGCAGTTGCTTGTTCGTCCATTGTCAGAATCAGAGAGGCTTTATTTATCCCCAAGGGGCAATTAAGTGTGGTTGTTTTAAATATAAGAGGGAAAACTTTAAGAAATTAATTCTACAGTTACCATAAAAATGATGAAAAAATATTGCCGTAAAGAGTTTATTTTGCGACACCACGAAACAAACGATAGTGTAATATGAAACGATAGATGTTTTTATATCATCATCAAATATATATCGTTATATCAAACAGCTCTATTTTTGAGCGCCATGTACCACATAAAATTGGTTCAAGGTCAGTAAGCATAACCAGAATCGATACATAAGGCGCACTGATGATTTTTGAGAAAATTAAAGGATTTTAAGTGTGCCTTATAGTTCAAAAAATACGGTACTCGGCGGAGTTGAGGTCAGGGCTGTGTGGGCCAGTCAACCTATTCCACATCAGACTCATCTGAGCATATTTTTATGGACCTGGGTTTGTCCACTGCTTTACATGGAAACCCATTTCATGAAATTACCAGTTCATTACAGCTGATTCGTCTTATGTATTTCTGCCTACTTTTTAGCCTCAGTTTTTGAATTTATCATTGAGAGGATAACAGTCATAGCCTCAATATAAGAACTCATGCATGTCAGTAAGTTCTTAAAGGGAAATTGGCAAACCTATGGGAGTGGATTTGAGGAGATGTACAAAGAAGTGGAAAAACTTGAGGGATAAATGTTTGCCTCTGGGAAGAAAAAAAAAGTACCCACAATAAAGAGAAGGGACCCAGGAGGGGAAAACAAGCCAGAAAGTTATTTGTTTCTATTGTGGCATGTATAAAACTGGGGACGTGACCAGATGCGCAAGCATGCTGGCAACAGCACTGGCCACTTACGTAGGTTACATCGTAGGCTCTGTAAAGATTCAAATCAACTGTCAAAGTGTTTGCGTTGAAGTTATGATCTTAATGCCAGAGGAGGTGTGAAACTCATTGAGTCAGCAGAGAGTTGGTGACTTTCACACACTATGCTTCTTAGCACTCAGTGACCCCACTCTGTAACTGTCAACTGTGGTTGCCACTTTGTGGCTGAGTTGCTGTGGTTCCTAATCACTTCCACTTTGCAATACTGCTTAAAGGTGGCCATGGAATATTTAGGAGAAAAGAAGTTTCACAAGCTGACTTGTTTCAATGAGCCATCCTACTACAGTACCAATATGTTTAAATTCAGTGAGCTCTTTAGAATGACTCAAATATGTGTAAAGACAGACTGCATACCTGTGTTATACCTGTGGTAATGGGACTGAAAACACATGAATTTAAAGATTAAGATGAGTGGGCAAAAACCTTGGTTCTTATAGTGTATGAACTAAATGTACATAGGATTAAAGAATACTCTTTTAATGAGTTTGTCAGAAAGATGAAAACAGTTTGTGGGGTCACAGTAAAAAAAAAAAAAAGATCCCAAAGGAACTTTCATCAGACCTAAAGCTCTTTATACTTGGTTTCATTTTTCTCCAGATGGATGAAGTTGTGTTAAAAATTGCAAGCATTAATGACCTTCAGTCTTATTTTAGAATTATTTGTATTTCCGTCTGTTTGGGAGATGTGTATACTTTCAAATGCAAAAACTGTGACACCAAAAGATGTTCTTGATGAGCTGGTTAAGGGACCTTTTATGAACCTGTATACAGGGGGATGCAGCCACTGGAGTGAACTGACCTTTTTCATGTGCCAGAGTAGTAACTTGATAATGATGTCTCTGTTCCGTGAACATGCCTCAGTAATAACTTTACAATATGAGGGGGATGAGGAAGCTAAAGTGAATTAGCAACTTTTAGCTAAAGCTGTGTTGTTGTTGTTTTTGTTTGTTGTTTTGTTTGGGTTTTTTTGTAAGGAAAAAGATTTTTCAGAAAAAAGGCTGTTGAGGTTTGTTGTCTTGGAGCTGCAAATTGTTGTAGTTTAAAGTTACAGTCATTTGTTTTTTGGGGTTATTTGATAGGGGGG